GAGTTTCAATATATCAGAGCAGGTACTATCCCTTGACAGCCCCCGGAAGAACTGTCACACCATTCCAGCAGTCCAAGGAAGGGACACTAACTTGTGAACTTTCTCCTTTTATTCTTTTCAAGAAATTCCTGAAGAGCAGTTACCCCCAAATTCTGTCTGCTGCAGGGTTCCCAGAAACTAAGCAAGAGAGCTCCCTAGGCATAAGGGGAGGGCTGGAGCGCTCCTAGGAGCAGTCACTGTATGAGACACCATGTGAAGTGAGCATTCTGATACTTAAATAAGTTGAGGGAGGACATACAGACGTGTGGATGATGTGTTCTGGGTGTGTCCCCTATGCATGATGGCAGGAAGCTAAACTCTGGAAAGAGGAGAGACAATTACAGGAAAATGAATGAGCTATAGTTACACTGTGCTTTGGAAAGATCACTCTGGTAAAATGCTGTCCGAAGGTAGGAGACTAGGAACTGAAAAGCAATTATGATAGATTACACACACACACACACACACACACACACACACACACACACACACACCACACATTCTATAGCTAGTAATAAGCAATAAACACACACCATGCATATTCATGCTTTCTAAGTATCTTGACGTATTAGATTCAGGGAAATGTACATATGAATTTTGAGAGTTTGAACTTGAGCCAGGGTTGACAAACTATAGCTTTTAGTTTATTTTTTATAAAGACATTTTATATATTTTTATATTTAAATTTTTATTGAGATTAAAGTGATTTTATATTTTTAAAATTCAAATAAAATGATCTCATTTCCCTTTTCTGACACTTCCTATTCACCACCCCCTGCTCCCTCTCTCTGTAATCCCCTCTGCCTTGTTGTCTTTAATTGTTATTACAAACAGAAGTACAACCACTCAGTCCATACAATACTTGTATATATGTTTTCCAGACTGATCACTTAATAGGGAATGACCACTTGTGTGAGGCTCTTCCTTGAGGAAAACAATTTCCCCTGCTCTCAGCATCCTTAGTTGCCTGTTGTTTTATGTCTAGGGGTGGGGCCTCACAAGGTTTCCTCCTTGCACACCAGCCTGTCTCTTAGTGCCATCCTGGCCATTAAAGACACTTGTTAACTCATTCATTTTTGAGACCTTTCATGCACGAGTATTGTAGTACAGATTGTCAGCCCTCTTCCTCCCCTCTCTAACTCTTCCCTTGCTCTCTGTTCCCTTTCTAACTTATGACCACTCCTTTTAAAATTACTATTATTACACACACAAACACACATGCAGACACACATGTGAGCATGCACACATGTGCACACACATGCACACATACACGGGCTCTGCTATGTGATTTGGTGTTGCTCATATGTACATAAATACAGAGCTGACAACTTGGGGTTAGATGGCATATCAGCTATTTCCCTAAAACAATATATAATTTCTAACTGTATTTTAAGTTTAAATTTAGATGGAGACCCCTAAGGAGACTTATAACTGGTCAAAACTCACAGTATAAACTCATTTTTATTAGAACATAACCACATTATCTTTACAGAATATGTAAAATTATTATACTCCAATAGAATTGACTAATCATAGGTGGAGTGCCATAGCCTGCATAGCCTAAAATATTCACTATTCAACCTTTAATGGACAAGGCACCTGACTCAAGAGTTAGCCACTATCAATTACCATCCACTCCATGTATGAAGTAAAGGATTTGGGGATGTCTGAGTCTAGCCTTACAGCTTGATGATATCATAGCCCCATAATATGCTCCTTCACATACTATACAGGCTGTAATTCAAGCTATTCTTTTAAACACTCAATTATCTTTTAAAGAAATTTTAAACATAAATATTTAATATTTATTGATGCACTAACCATTCCTAGTCTATTTCTTCATGTACATAGATATTCTAATTGCAAAAAATCTGAAGCTCTATATTTTATCTTTTTAGCGATTTAAACAGATAAGTGATCAATTGTCCCAGCTTTTAAAATAAAAAATTGCTGTTACTTTTATTTTTAAAGGCTAACTTTGGTGAGTATAGAAAGTTCACATGAAGACTTTTCAGTTTCCCCTGGTCAGTACTTGGTTCCATTGCTTTTTGGCCTCTATTATTCCTGATGAAAAGCTTCTGCCCTCTAAGGATATTGCAGATTATATCTTTAACATTCTTGTCTAGCAGTGATGGAACAGAAAATTTGTATGTTTTTATTTGTCTTTATTCTGCTTGGATTCAATGAACTCTCAGTCATTTGCACTTATGACTTTCAAACATTGTTTCTCACATATACATTGTCCCAAGTGGATACTAGATAGTCATCCCTTAAGCCTCTTTTTGTTTTCTGCCTCTGAGCTTCAGTTTGCAAGTGGATATAAGCATGTGTGTGTTCTAGTTCAATGATATTTTTCTCTGGTCTGCGCTAGTCATAATCATAACAACTCCCTGAAACAATCAATCCATAAAAGTCCTTATTGGATCACAGTTTTCAGGATCTCAAGTCCATGACTAGCTGGCCTTGTTATTTGAGATCTACAGTGGCTCATGTCACAAAAAAATGGTTATTCATATAATGGTAACTGGGAGACAAAGCTGAGAGAGAGAGGCTTGTGTCCCAGTATCATCCTCAAGAGTACACCACCATTGACCAATGTATCTCCCAGTTTCTCCCATCACTTAAAGTACCAATCAGAACCACTAGTGGCACAGGCTAGGGCATAGGCCTCAAACACAAGGATCTTTTGAGGATGTTTATCATACCAAATCCAGTTGGGTCAAATCTTCTAAGAAGGCAGACCAGTGATCTAATTTCAGATATATGAGTCCTAAAGTTCTCATTGTATTCTCTTTAATGTTGTTTCTTTATTACATGAAAAATTTCTTGTTGTTTCTTTAATATCTATGTGTCTTCTAAAACAGCAGGACTAATTCTTAATCACTGATAAGTTTTCATCTGGTAATTATCATCATTTCTGTTATTTTGAGATTCATTTCTGCATAGCGAGTTTTCTCTGGTTGTGACTCCTATTTTCCTGCCACTCCAAAGACCTAGGGTTTTGAATGTATAATGAGCATTACTATACATGTGATTGTTGTTGAATTTTTATGACCTGCTTTGACCTAGAGTTGATTTGTTTGAGAAGGAGTTTATGTGTTAAATTGACTTTCAATAACCCCGGTTCAAGGATAATGACTAGCCCTTATTCCACCACCACCACCATTATCATCATCATCATCATCATCATCATCATCATCATCATCACCAGTGAAATATGCCATCCCTTCTTCTAATGGATGGCCGTTCTGGGATTGCTACTGCATGACTAGTATTGTTCAACAAGAACTGTCAGTCTGACCTAGTCTGTAATCAAATTCTACCAATGTGCGTAACATCTGGGTGTTCACCTCAGAATTTCATTTATCTAATCTATGGAGTCTTGGCCAGAACACATATATTTGGTCTGACATCCAGACTTCATAAATGCCCATTTTGGATTTTCAGTAGTCGTTCTCTACAAAACCACATCCTTTACAGTACTCTACCCTGCTGTCTCCAGCTTCCTCAGTAGCTTCAAACTCTATCCTGCCTAAGCCAGGTTGTGGTGGCACATGCCTTTAGTCTCAGCACTCGGGAGGCAAAGCCAGGTGGATCTCTGTGAGTTCCAGGCCAGCCTGGGCTACAGAGCAAGTTCCAGGAAAGGCAGAAAGCTACACAGAGAAACCCTGTCTCAACAAAACAAAACAAAAAAAAAACCAAAAACAACAAAAACAAACAAACAAAAAAAAAAACCAACAACCCTGTCCTGCCTCTGCTCTAGTGACACTCTTCTACTCTCTTTGGATCTTCTTCCCATGTCATGACCTGGGAAGTGAATCATTCCCAAATCTGGAAACTAGCATAGCTAACCTCACTTATCCATCCTCTTATGTGGGTCAGATTCCAGTCCTCAAAATAGTTATTGCATATGTGCTCAGTTTTCTTAGTTGCTTAGAAAATTGTTCTACTATCATTCAAAGCAATATTTATTCCAAGTAAATAAACACTGATAAAAGCATACTGCACCTCTGGCAATACTCAGAGAATAGATTATATTCCCAGCCTTTGAAATCCTTTATTCTTAAAATGATGAATATATTTTGATATGCTTTTTCTTTGATACTTTGTTAAATTTTTTCCACCAATTATTCTCTTTAGTATCTCACAGCACAAAGCCTCCTGCCATAGTTTCTGTCATTGATTTGTGGGGAGTCACAAATATGACTAGAATTTGAATCTTTTTAATCCCTATTAACTCTATTTGACTTTTTAAAATTCTCTTCTCTAACTATTTGCTGGTCAAGTATCATATTTTATCAAAGATATTTAATTTTGTCTAGCACCTCAAATAATTTTTATAAACATTTGGCTATCAAGTAACATTGGCTTTACTATCAAGTAACATTATCCCTTACTAATATAGAATGGCTCATTTTGAACATACCTCATCTCTCATGAGCTTTAGTATATAATCATAATTTATTTTAAGTAACAGGGCATCTACAGGCTTTGACTCTGAACTTCTTAAAGCAAAACATATTTGAAAGTTGTATATAATTGAGTTTTGTTTCATTTACAATTTACTAAATGGTAAAACCTCACATAAGGAAAGCAAAAGCATAACTACTTATTTTTTTTCCTTATGGTCTTAACAGAAGAGTTCATGGTAAATTGATCAACCCTCAGTCAATTAGACTTTGACATATACTAATAAGATCTAATTGAGGAATTATGAAGACATTTGCTCAGGAGAAAATGAGCACATAATTACACCATAAAGAGGTTAAAGAATCAATGTTACCCAGCTGGAAGAATATTAGTTGAAGTCCCAATGGCATCAATAAAGGACACTTCATAACACATCTGTGAAATACAGCACTGACTGAAAAGGCCAATTAAGATATGTAGAATAATCCATTTTTAATTGTAAGAGTTCAGTTTTAAACATCCATTTTCCCCTTTGCCTCTGCCCACTGCAGGTGCTGGGGGATGGTCTCCATCAGACAGTGACCACTATCAATGGCTTCAGGTTGATTTCGGCAACCGGAAGCAGATCAGTGCCATTGCAACCCAAGGAAGGTATAGCAGTTCCGACTGGGTGACACAGTATCGGATGCTCTACAGTGACACGGGAAGAAACTGGAAACCTTATCATCAGGATGGGAATATCTGGGTGAGTCACTGTCAGAAATGCCAGGATGCAGAACCGAAAGGAGAATATGTGAAAGTGGGAGAGGACTCACTTGACCTGTTCATAGTTGCAAATATTTCTCTGTGAAAACTATTGGAAGGCTACTAACTAACCAGCTAATTAACTAATTCAGTTTTGTTCATTAAAGCACCGTTTTCTTAGGCTGCAATGCACAGCCAGTGCTTAGATCAGTTGGTCTCTGTCTTGATAAATTATTCAAATCACCTGAAGGACTGTTTATACATAAAGACATAAGTCACACCTGGACCAACCAAATCAAGATCACGGCCTTAGAAAATCCAACTAAAGATGGTATTTCAAACCATCATTACAGATCTATATAACTTTTTTATTGTTCCATGGTGAAAATATATAAAATTTGATCCACATAATCTGAAAATATCTCAGTTAATTATAAAGTTATGTTTTCAACCAAATGGTCACCATGTTTGAATAATTATTTATGACTAAACAATACATGAGCTATTTTAGTTTATCAAACTATATTTTTAAGTCTACAATAAAAAATCAAGTGAAATAATGAGTATAAAACAAAAAGAAGGAAAAGAGAGAGGATTGGCTCATGGTATCAGCCAGAGAAATGGGTACTTTCAACCTATCAGGGCTCACTTACTGGAAATAGGTACTTTTTTAAAAGCCCAAATGTTCAGGTGAGTTTCTAGAGTTGTGAATTTATTAGATTGGCAGCCATTACTACATGAGTGGCCAACGATGGCAAGCATAGCGTGAAATAAGCACATGATCCCTAGGAAATAATAAATATGTCTCCCCAAGAAGGATTACAGAAATAACTCATCTCAGGCCATAGCAATGTATCAATAATGCCTGTGTATTGGAATTTGAAACGTATGGGAAACACATTGGAGGGAAAATATCTCTTTGATGAAAAGTTTTCGTTACATTCTGAGGGTAACCCAAAGCCTCAGGCATAAGTTTTAGAAAGGTGATTCTCAAACACAGACAGAAAAAAAAAATGGTTGTACTTGTGTATGCTTTATAGCAATAATAAAAGAGTTAGGTAAATGTAGCTATATAAGACCTTGATTTACTTTGATGGTGGATAGTAGTTAGAGTTAGTCACAATATGACTGGATGCAGATATGTTGAAAAGGTAAGATTGTTCAAGATAACTTGGGTTCCTCTGGTGATATATGTAAACAATAGAAATGGTTGTGCCCGGGAAAACACTCTTAAAAGAGCTCATGTGGAGCAGGTAGGCTGTGTATGCAAAGAGTTTATAGCCTTTTCTGACAAAGATAAAGCATGTGCTTCTGTGATTTCCCATTCTGATATTAGTTTTATCTCTTCCTTTCAAGCTCCTCATTAAAATTAGCATAATGATGAGTGATGAGTAATAAGTGACGATTTCTAGAAGATTCTATTTGAGCTAATCATGAAATTGTAAAATTACCAACAAGTTTAAGGTGCAATATAAATATTGTGAAATACATTTAAGTGCTAGTAAGCATGTCACATAATGAGTATAATAACCTATGGCAGAAATGTTTGAATCCCTGCTAATATCAAAAATGATGACTATTGAAAATTAATTTGCTTCTGTCTGTCCTCAACAACATTAAGTGATGGAATTTTAACTCTTACAATATCAACAACTATATCTAGATTTAAGTTTAGTATTGATGATAATTAAATATTAATTTTTTTATAATTTATTTCTACTTAATATCATGGAAGTTGGACTTTTAAATAAATTAGACAAAATTGATAGGCTTTTTGGTTGACAGAATGCTACAAGATGACATTTTTGGGTAGTCAGAAGGTTTCAAAGTTGATATGGTTTTGAGCTAGCATTTCTTACTCATCCTATGATTGACAACCCGAGGAGAATGGAGGGCAAAGTAACTTCTAGCTATTGAATATGATTTTTAACAAATATAAGTGGCATTTGCCTCTATAATAGTTAAAGAAATGGGTGATACAGCTTATACAATATTTTTCAAAGTCCATGTAAAAATTTTGAGTGATTTTACTATCATTGGTACCAGAAAAGGGAGTAAGTGTTAAAAAAACAAAACAACAACACAACAACAACAAAAAAATGTCATTCCCTAGACTTCATACTGTAAGCATTAACTCAAATCAAGTGCAGTTACCTTCACTGGGTCCACATGACAACGGTCCTATCAGTATCCATGTGCCGAGCCCACCTGGCTCCAATAGATAACCCCATTGTCACACAGAGGTCCTGGTTAATCTTGGTGGTTCACAAAACAATAATAATAGACCTGAATGCAAGAGGGATTCACTGGGAGGGGACAGGGTGAACAGGAGTAGTAGTGAGGTAGGGATAGCGGTAAGAGTGGTCACTAGGCAAGGTGTGAAATTGTTTCAAAAATGAAAATTAAAGGATAGCAGTTATCAACTAATAATATGTATCAAGTAAACAAAGGGAACAACAAGTTACATAAGTGAAAAATGTCGGCATCTCACACATTTTTAAAGTCATGAATCTTTGTCTGAAATTATCTCTTGAAAAGATTACTAAGATGGCCTGTTCAAAGATTTTATCTGCAAAGATGTGAGCTTGCTAAATGTACCTAACTAGCCAAATCTCCCAGTCCTCTATGGTAATATTTAACATAATACAATCCTGTGTCCCTTAGTGACAAGGATGTTTCCTTCTAAGCAGTATCCCCTTTGCAATGTAAATGACAACATTCAAATAGACAAAAAATGACCCCTCTCATTGCGTTAACACAGTTCTAGAACTCAAATTTGCACACTTCTATTCAATTTTTTTCAGGGTCTCCTATATATGAAGGTAAAAAAGAAATATTATATGTAATAGTCTCTTACTACATGTCCATTAAACATTGCATTAAATAAGAATTCCACCATTCAAGTTTGCTTAAGAAATTTAATTACTCGGGTTTCAAAGCAGATATTTGAAATCCAAATAACAAAATACTTATTAATGGAAAAAAATTTATAGTATATATTTATTTTATTTGTATTATTTATTATATATAATTTTATATTTCATAAGTTACATGTTCCAAATTTACCTGTATAATGTAGACACAATGTTCTTTCTTTGTAGGAATTCTTTCCTTGAACATAAGAAAATGAGTATATATTTCTAATCATTTCTTAAAGAGTTTTGACCCCTTTTGATAATAGTCAGCAGGTGTTAGACAAAATTAATTACCACTGTATGTCTTGGGGATTCCTACTGTGGAGAAATGTCTTATCATATTGAAATTACATAGTTAGAGTCTCAGCAAGAGTATGGGAATATGTATATGCTGCCATTATCTAACACATCAAATAGAATATTAATTAATAAGACTTTTAAAAACTTGAACATTTGTCACTTTTTTTTGTATAATTTTAACACAAAAAGCGCCACTTTAACTCACAAAGTTTCATTGTTCCAACCAAATTTGAAGCATCCCAAACATCTGGAGTGCAGACAGATATCAGCAGGGAAAATTTTGCTTTTTGCAATGTCAAATCAATAACTGCATTTCTTGATTAACACTAACACTTAGATAATTGATACTAGCATTTAGATAATGAAAGTTTCCAAACTACTTTCTTTGTTTTTGTTTTTTGTTTTTGTTTTTGGTAACAGCTCTGGCTGTTCTGGAACTCAGTTTGTAAACCAGACTGGCCTCTAGAACTCTGAGATCAGAGATCAACCTACCTATGGCTCCTGAGTACCAGGGTTCAAGGTGTGCATCACCACCACTGGGCTTCAACCTACTTTCTTCAATGAGACTGTAAAATGTTGGTTAGGAAGTGAAAGTTGAGCTGTGGCGTCAAAGGTCTGAAGGAAGCATCTTGACTCATTCATTTGTTTTATATTCCAGAAAGTTTCAAGGCTCCTCTGGGGCTGAAATTCCTAATCTGAAAATTAGAGAAACAACCAGGATGTTAAATTGCAATTATATAAGTAAGCAGATTTAGCAAGATACAATACTTTAGAAACGCAAGTATTACCCAGCCTAGAAGCAATTTACCCATCACGTCTTCAGTGATGAGCACCTCAAATGCTTCGATCCCCTCTGTCTTTCGCACATTCAATTTACCTCTGTTTACTCTCATGCATGACTTAAAATATCCGACAATATTGGCAATGACGGAAACATGACTTCACAAAAGAGGTAGAACATAAGCGAATCTCTGGCATGCTTTCCAAATGAACACAGGGAAGAGAGTCCCTCAATACATCAGTGCCTGGCACACGGCAGTTCTGGCCAGGGACTCGGGGCTGTGAGGCCTTGCTCTGAGCCAAAAGTCAGTGTAGTGCTTGTAACAGATTATTTGTTACCATAATGATGGCCTTGTGTGCAATGAGCCATGTAAGGGGACAGCATTTAAAAATGAGTGGGTGATTCTGTCCTATCTCTTCAACCATTTGTCATAGTGGTTGCACTAATTTTCCAAATCATTTAAAAAATCTGTTCTTATTAGGAATGCGCAAAACCAATGCCTGTGTTCCACACTGCAGTAGTATGCTTAGAATAGTCTTTCTGCATGTGGCACTAAGGAAGCAAAACCCCTCTCCAGGCTTGTCCATTTGTCCTCATCAGACAATAGCACCAACTGCACTGCTTGCCAATGCAGTTTTCTTCATGGGTATCTGAGGTTACTCTTGTTCACTTTCACACACAAATGTCTTGCTACAATCAGGTGTTTGGGGAAAAGACTAAGCAGGCATATTTGAAAGAACTGTATCAAATTTGAGCAATAAAGCACATAATAACTATCTCATTAAATGTTTTCCAAAATGATCTTTGACATAAGTAAGTAGAAATCTTTAGTACTTATATAGGATAAAATGAACTCCAAGATTAATTCAAAACAAGCTCCTTGGTTCTGTGAAATAGATTTTTCTATTTACACCTCTTTTGGACTGGCTGATGTTTTTAAATTTCCATGAATTTTAATAAACCTAGTGGGCATTCAGATCCTTTGATGCACACTGTTAATGCCTC